TCGGCGCGCGGTATGATTTAGAAACCCTATGGTACAATTTAATGATCCGGTCTCCAAAGCATGTCGAAATTATATTTGTTTTAATTTATGATTGAAACAAAAATTTAATGCTTATTTTCGTAAAAGTATATTTCGTAAAAGTAATTTTATTTTCAATGAATCAAAGTTTAATGTAATTACACAAATATTGTGATCCTTTCGGTGCTTTTGTCACAATTTTGTTTAAACCTTAAGGGAAGTGATATAGACGATTCTCCCCTACTTATTTAAATTATTCATTTTTTCGGATTAATCCATCAATATATTTTCAAGTAACGAAAATTTATTTATTGTATAATATTCTAGAGTGCAACACACCAAATGAATATATACTATCAATTTAGTAGTTTTCGCTATTCTTTATTCTATTTTTTTAACTCAACTAATTTAAATTTCATTTTCAATTTATTTTAATAGAGCTATCTTAGTTGATTACCTAAATAATTCTAAAGTAGTCAATATATTCAATGATTGTGGATGTTATTATTTTTGATTAAATATTATTATTCGCGTGTAAGAAAAGGTTTGTATATATCTCTTACCATAGCAGCACTTTCCATAGACGCAATAAAATATTCCACCGAGAATCACATGAAAAGCTTTTGTACCCTTTTGCAATAAAAATAACATCATTTTCTGTATTTGTAACGGTGCCATATACCATTCAACATTGTATCTACAAAACAATGATAAATTAATGTAAAACTAATATGAAAAAATAAAAATATTTGTTATTGTATAAATTGTTTAGTTCATTATATGTTCGTTCAAGGAATAGTATTATTTTTTAATACTTTTGTTAACTCATCTTTTTGTTACAAGAATTTATAAAACAATTACTCGACTATAAACGTAGGATGCAAATGTTACTTACACTGTAGCAAATACATATTCATTGTGATCTGTAATATCTTGTGCTGTATAATTAGATAAAAACATGTAAATGTAGAGATCAACTAAGTATATAAGTTGTAGTACAAGTTGCCCTGTGGTATTATATGATATGATCTAAATAATATAAAACATATGTTATATATGTATTTTATTTTTTTGCAAGCAAAAAATTTTGTAATTTTTCTGAAATTCCTTAGGTCAAATCATACAGCTTACATTACATTAGAAATTATTTTCTTTATTGGTTGTGCATATTAGAAAACTGTATTATTTTTGTGACATACATATGCGAATAATGCATATAGTTTATTATTATAAAAAAAAAAGGGGAACAATAATCATGAGTTTTTCAATGATTTTATTTTTAAAGGAAATTATTTTCGCATACTGTTCTAATTAAAGATTCTTTATTTAATCTTATAATATCATGTAATCTGTATTTTTCATGGAAAGATACGTTTAATAGCAAAATAATAAAACTTACTTGAACAAGAGTGCTGCTTATGCAAATTATACCAGCCACTATTAAACAGAAGAAAGATCTTTCAAAACTCTTTATAAAGACTTGAGAAAACCTTCAAAAATAAAATAAAAATTATTATAACACGTTATACAAGTATTGCAGAATGTACAAGTATGAAGTGCGGATTTGAGACAACAGATTTGCACCAATGCAGTGTGTAGTATAAAGATTTGTATATGCCATTTTGTTGTGCCATCAACAAGTTTCAAACGCGCATAAGTGATAAATTGAAAAAATGTTTGCATGGTATTGTTTTGCTGTGTTCAATATGTCGAAATTTGTGCCAAATAAAGAGCATTCGCGGATTATTAATTTTTTGTTTTCATTTGAATAAAACTGCTGCTGAATCATATCGATTACTTCGAGAAGCTTATGGTGAACATGCTCCATCGCAAGATGTGAACAATAGTTACGGCGTTTCAAAAGTGATGATCTCGATGTTGCAGACAAGAAAAACCGTCAAAAGGTACGAAGATGTAGAATTGCAAGCATTGTTTGACGAAGACGATTCACAAATCGTCGATTCACATGATTTTTACTGGCGTGGTATCCACTTACCAAATTACCCGAAAGATGGGAAAAATGTGTAACTAGCATTGGAGCATACTTTGAATAAACTACTTTTTATCATTCGTCCGAATTTAAAAAACAAAAATTATTAGAACACATTATACAGGTATTGCAGAATGTATACTGACTCTGTAGCTTTGCGATGAATGTCTATCGCACAGATTATTCCTTTATAAATTATAACCATTTTTTCTTCATTAACATCTTGTTGCTTATTAATTGCCATTGCCTTCTTAATACGGAAACTATATGAATACATATTTTTTTCTGTAAGTTCTTAATTTTTCTAGATCTGATTGAGAATAGATTTCTTTTATTAAAACAAATAATTGTATTGAATTCTACCTTGCAATGCTAAACATTCCACAAATATGTTTGAGGTACGCTATTAGCATCGTACCTGTTGCTACCATTGTAATTGCCCCTATGCACAAAGCTGCATTTGTATGCAAAAGAATGAAATAGGAACAGTTTTCTTGATCAACAAAATATTCTGTTGCAATATGAATCGCTGCAGAGCGTGATCGGGAATTGTTTATAGCCAGAATTACATCAAATAAACGAGGCCAAATTGGCAGGAAAAGATAAGTAGATATGCTACATGCGCTAAATACTAACATTAAATTAGAAAGTAAATGGTATATATATATGTATAAGAATCAAAAATTTATTTAAATAAAATTTATTTAAGCTTTATAAATTTTTTACTGTTATTACTAATTCATTAAAATGTAAGCATATATATATTATCTTACTCGTAATTATTTTCGTTTGATATTTCCCTATACGGCCATACTTTTCTATGATAGCAATTTCATTTTTATTTTTTATTTCGTTACAAACATGCTGAAGTTGTTCTAGTGAAACTCTAATCTATTACATCAATAATATTTTATGCATTTTCCATATAAAATATTTAAAAGATATCATATTTGAAGATTTATTTATCACGAGTATTTGTCTGGAAATTGTATAGTAAATATTTGACTTACAGTATTGGCGTTAATCCAAAACGAATGATATTTAATTGCATAGCAAATGAAAAAAAATGCGGAAGACAGAACATTGATAATGAGATCTGTAGTGCATTTTGAAGTCAAAAACGTTGTAAACTGTAAATAAGTAATTCTTGTTGAAAATGTTATATTAAAAGAATAATTCCTTAGTGTGATTAATAAGTTTCGTATTTTAGTCTGTTAATTATTGCTTCGTATTAAAAATAATTTATTACGACCTGAAATACAATAAAAGTTGTCAAAATAGTAAAAAGTACGATAAATTGAATTTGAGCAAGTTTCGATCTCTGGTGAGGCCATAAACCAATCGCGAGCAAGAGAAATCTATTGAGTTTGAAGTGTTTCGTCTCAAGACAAATCATCTTTGTAAACTCTGAAGTACATTTATGCGTGAAAAATAAGAAATTGCATATTCTCTTTTTCCGATTCTATTATTCTAACAGTTGGTTGAAAATGTTTCAATTTTTCTCTTTTAGTAAATTGTAACTTCAATTGTTTAATATTCAGAGCGAAATGCAATAATATCACAAGATTAAAGAATTTAGAATTCATCACTGTTTTCTGAGAAAAAAGTGATTAAACGATCGATTTAATTACATTGATAGAAGTTTAATAGATGTTTTTATCCTATGGAAAATCATTCACATAGAGAAAGTCGATAGATAGCCGCGCAAGCGCAGTCATTTTTTGTTGTAATATGCCTTTCATTCTAGTGCGTACACTCTCAAGGTACGTTTGATCTTTTAAAATAGTATTGATCATTAAATTTAATCTTAAGTTTGAACAAAATTTGTTTATTCTAAAAGTATTGAAATCTATATCTTATTAATATTTTATTTGTGTGTGACGCTTGATATTGGAACTATTTATATTTTACATATACTTTTGTATATCATTATCCACAATGATGTTATAAATAAAAGTTTCTGATAATACTTTATCGGAAAAAATTAATTAAATTCACATTTCTTACAGTTTGTGGAACACTGAAAGTGAATTTATCTTCATATCAGAAGAGAGTAAATGTATGTTTATATGTATATATACATATATGTATATATATATAAATATATTTGTGTATATATATATATATATATATAATTTATATATACATGTTATAATATATATTTATTATATATATTATTTATATTAATCTCGTTATTCCTGCAACTGAAGTCTCAAGCGGACGATTGTTTGCTGATGCTGTTAACATTGTTGCGACTATACGAAGTAAATACGGGAGTAATAACGAATTTAAAAAATTGATATCAGAAATCGTAAAAAAGTTATACTTTCTACACTTCAATTTAATATAAAACAATTTTTCACAAATTGATTTTTTTCTTTATAAATTCTTGCATTTAATTACATATGGATACGTTTCTAAACTTAAAAATTTAGGAGTGGTCAGAAAAATATTGTACCGAATTGAATATCGGGTCTCGAATCAAAAATTTTATCGTGAAATTCAGGTACCCACACATTCTTAATAAATATATGTATATATAATACAATTAAAAATTCTGCTTATAATATAGAATATATTAGTCTGGAAAATAATATAACTTATCTTAATTCCAAAGTACAAGATAACATTCTGCAACTTTTAAGCGGAATTGCCTATTTTAATTTAAATGCAGTGTAGAAGGAAATATTATTGTCGGATAAAAAAAATACATGATGGTAATTCATTTTTCTGGAAAAGATGTATGGTTAAGCGGTCGATTTGATTATAGCAATAATGCGCAACAGATATTTATTTTCCATATAGAAATACATACGTCATTCGAGGTAATTGTGCGATAATAGACTTCGAAGATGCGCGGTACAATCCCTTCTAACACATATATTTCAATGTTGTGACTTATTAATATAATGTTAATTTTAAATTCTATATTTTTTTTTATATAAATATTTTATAATATTTCGATTTTTTTATTTAAATAATAATTTTTATCTTTTGTCGAATCGAAACAATACTTACTGTAAGCGACACCTAAAACCGGGGATTGAACTTTGGTCAAATTGGTTTACATTTTTCTTCCTTTTCCCTTCTCCCTTTCTTACTTCCTCATATCTTTTTCACTTTTATACATACCTATCTTAATTATTTTGCAATTATTATTTCGTACTTGTAGAATAGAGAACAGTGAAGTATGATATTGAAGTACCCATCAACTGTAATGAAAATATCTTCTTTTGTTTTATTCTGTAAAAATTATATAGAAGCTTTGTGGAGAATACTAAAATAATGGAAAGACAATATGAGATGGATTCGGATAAGTCGTGTCGATGATTAAATCGTATCTTCATTGTATTTTCTAAAGGATACATTTTTTTAAGGGCGATGACACTGATGTGACGCTAGTAACATGGTTTAAGAACTGTCATTTTTGTATTGCTTTCGAGCCGTCTGTTTACGAATTACATTCAAAACTGATTTTGTTTGATATCTGATCTAAGCCTTTGTACAATTTACTTAAAATGTTCTCAGTACAAGGTGGTAATTTAATCTTAGTGTACTACAGGGTGATAATTGATATTTAAATTCTTTTCGAGTATAAAATTAGTAAAACATTTGTAAGTTTGTTATGTTGCTATTGGCAAATTTGTAAAAATAGAGTTGAATAAATTGTACTTGTCACTGGTCTTTATATATACCGGTACGATTTTCACAAGCGATGCGAGCTCTCATAATCTCCTCGCGGCTGGTACGCATTGTTAGATTACGTTTGATTAGCATCAGACGCGAAGAATTATTAAAAAAACTATCACAAAAATTCTGAAGAATATAAGGCCTGTGAAGAATAAGGTTTTAATATATCTACTAACTGGTAAATATCCAAAAGAACTACCTCTTTTCCAATTTCGTTAAAATTAATTCATTTGGCCGCGTTTTTGCACAAAATAAGAGAATGTGACAGAAAAAAATTCAAGACTGCCTTGTAAAACGAGATGTTAAGCGTTAAAATTGACGACTATATTGAAGTTAAGAAACATGTCATAGCTACGAATATTGCGATGAAAACATGTGCTGCGGTCATCTTCATGATCTACATGCTCTATACCTCAAGCTACATGTGCATACATTTTACTAACTTCTATAGCGATATATTAATGTTTATTTATTAATATTCAAATCGTCTCCCTTTCATCGTTCATGAGTTTACAACTTTTCACATAAAGCGCGATTCCACACAGGTTTACACGCAAAGTGAGTTTTAATTTAAAAAAAATGGTCTTTGGTTTTACGAGGGGTGAGGAAGACAGAAATCTTTCGCACATATATGTATTTAATGATTGCGGATTGTTCCGCCCATTCTCTTCCTCCGTTTCCGGGCGCGCGGTATGATTTAGGAACCCAGTGGTACAATTTAACGATCCGATCTCCAAATGGTATCGAAAGCTACTTTTTTAAAAAATTTATGATTTAAACAAAAATTTAATGCTTGTTATCGTAAAAGTATCGTTTTATTTCTAATGAACCAAACTCTCTTACCGTAGCAGCACTTTCCATAGACGCAATGAATATTCCACCGAGGATCAAATGAAAAGCCTTTGTACCTTTTTGCAGTAGAAATAACATCATTTTCTGTATGTGTAACGGAGACACGTACCATTTAACGTTATATCTACAAAACAATGATAAATTAATGTAAAACCTAACATAAAAAAATAAAAATATTTGTTATAGTATAAATTGTTATAGTATATATTGTTGTAGTATATTCGTTCAAGAATTATTTTTGAATACTTTTGTTAACTCATCTTTTTGTTACAAGAATTTATAAAACAATTACTTATAAGTATGAACGTACGATACAAATGTTTCTTACACTGTAGCAAATACGTATTCATTGTGATCTGTAATATCTTGTGCGGTATAATTGGACAAAAACATGTACATGTAGAGAACACTTATGTATATAAGTTGTAATACAAGTTGCCCTGTGCTATTATATGATATAATCTAAAAAAATATAAAACATGTTTTATATATGTTTTAATTTTTTACAAGCAAGAAATTTTGTTCCTTAAGACAAATTATATATCTTGCATTACATAATAAATTATTTTCTTTATTGTTTGCGCATTAGAAAACTGTATTATTTTTGTTTTATACGTATGCGAATAATGCACATATCTTATGATTATAAAGAAAAAGTAAACGAAGAATAATCATAATGAGTTTTCAAATGATTTTATTTTTAAAGAAAATTATTTTTACATAGTGTTCTAATTAAAGATTCTTTGTTTAATCTTATATCATGAAAACTGTATCTTTCATGGAAAGATACGTTTAATAGCAAAATAATAAAACTTACTTGAACAAGAGTGCTGCTTACGCAAATCATACCTGCCGCTATTAAACAGAAGAAGGATCCTTCAAAACTCTTTAGAAAAACTTGAGAAAACCTTCAAAAATAAAACAAAAATTATTAGAACACATTATACAGGTATTGCAGAATGTATACTGACTCTGTAGCTTTGCGATGAATGTCTATCGCACAGATTATTCCTTTATAAATTATAACCATTTTTTCTTCATTAACATCTTGTTGCTTATTAATTGCCATTGCCTTCTTAATACGGAAACTATATGAATACATATTTTTTTCTGTAAGTCCTTAATTTTTCTAGATCTGATTAAGAATAGATTTCTCTTATTAAAACAAATGATTGTATTGTTCTACCTTGCAATACTAAACATTCCACAGATATGTTTGAAGTACACTATCAGCATCGTGCCTGTTGCTACCATTGCAGTTGCCCCTATGCACAAGGCTGCATTTGTATGCAAAAGAATGAAATAGGAACAGTTTTCTTGATCAACAAAATATTCTGTTGCAATATGAATCGCTGCAGAGCGTGATCGGGAATTGTTTATAGCCAGAATTACATCAAATAAACGAGGCCAGATTGGCAGGAAAAGATAAGTAGATACGCTACATGCGGCAAATACTAACATTAAATTAGATAGTAAATGATATATGTATAAGAAACAAAAATTTATTTAAGTAAAATTTATTTAAACTTTATAAATTTTTTACTGTTATTACTAATTCATTAAAATGTAAGCATATATATATATTATCTTACTCGTAATTATTTTCGTTTGATATTTCCCTATACGGCCATACTTTTTTATGATAGCAATTTCATTTTTATTTTTTATTTCGTTACAAACATGCTGAAGTTGTTCTAGTGAAATTCTAATCTATTACATCAATAATATTTTATGCAGTTTCCATATAAAATATTTAAAAGATATCATATTTGAAGATTTATTTATCACGAGTATTTGTCTAGAAATTGTATAGTAAATATTTGACTTACAGTATTGGCGTTAATCCAAAACGAATGATATTTAATTGCATAGCAAATGAAAAAAAATGCGGAAGACAGAACATTGATAATGAGATCTGTAGTGCATTTTGAAGTCAAAAACGTTGTAAACTGCAAATAAGTAATTCTGTTGAAAATTTTATATCAAAAGAATAATTCCTTAGTGTGATTAATAAGTTTCGAATTTTAGTCTGTTAATTATTGCTTCGTATAAAAAATAATTTATTACGACCTGAAATACAATAAAAGTTGTCAAAATAGTAAAAAGTACAGTAAATTGAATTTGAGCAAATTTTGATCTCTGGAGAGGCCATAAACCAATCGCGAGCAAAAGAAATTTATTGAGTCTGAAATGTTGTGTCTCAAGGCAAATCATTTTTGTAAACACGAAAAGTACTAAAGTACACTGAACTCTGAAAAAGAAGGTATTGTCTATTCTTTTTTTTTTTCAATTATATCAAACTAATAGTTGATTGAATTTCAATTTTTCTCTTTTAGTAAATTGTAACTTCAATTGCTTAATATGCCAGCATGCAAAGCGAAATACATTGTCGCGAGTTTAAAGGTATACTTACAATTCAACACTGTTTTATAAGAAAAACATGTGATTAAACGATCGATATAACATGAAAGAAATTTCACAGGTGTTTATTTCCATGGAAAAATAGTCGCATAGAGAACCTCGATAGAGGACCGCGCAAGCGCACTCACTTTCCATTGTAATATACATTTCATTCTAGTGCGTACACTCATAAGGTACGTTTGTTCTTTTAGAGTAATGTCATTAAATTCATTCTTAAATATCAACAAAATTTATTAAATTACTGAAGTCTACATCTTAATAATATTTTTATCTAACGCTATATTGGAACTATTTATATTTTATATATATATATTTCTATGACATTATCCATGATGGTATTATAAATAAAAATTTTTGCTATTTATGTATAATAATAAATAATAATCAATAATTTTATTTAAGTCGATTATACATATATTTTCAAGTTATTTATATAAATGTATGGTAATTTGTGGAACTCTTTATTTGAAATATCTATATATTGGAAATATACAACACATTAAAAATTAAATAACATATTAGTTGCGCATTATATAAGAAGGAAAGTAATCACAAAAATATTTCTTTTGCATTTTATTTAATAGCGGAATTATAAAAAAATGTTGTTACATGTTACGTAATGAACATTTTCTCAAATAAATTAATTAAAATCTGAATAACAAAGAAGATTTACATTGGATGCAATATCGGTAACTTTACATTCTGTAATTCTTATTTATTATTTATCTCCGATGTGTGTGTGTTTTCATTAAAATAATTTTCCTCTTTCGCGGATTTGATACTTCAGCACGTATTATCTAAAATGCGAAATCATAGTGATTCCAATATTTTTTCTTTTATCTGCGTTGTTCTCTTTCCATCCCAATTTTTTAATATTAAACTCGATTTTTTAAAATTATTTTATTAGTATTAATTTATATTCTCAATTTTTTGTAGAATAGAGAACAGTGAAATATGATATTGAAGTACTCATCAGCTGCTAAAATATATACCGTTTGTTTTATTTTGTAATAAATTATAAACATATATTAGAATTTTTTTAGCTAAATGGTTGAGAATTAATAGTTTTGAATAATCTATTTTTTTAATAATTAATAACAGCATTTTAAAGTAGAAAGAATTTATTTTTTATATAATATTTTTAAATGCAATAAAATAGAAAATACTACAATAATTTAATAAGTTTCTTTTTTCTCCATTTTAAATACTTTTGTTGAGCTATTAGTTAGCATATTTTATTTAACACAATTATTTTAAGAAAAATTGTGTTTTTCTGTAGTATACACAATGTAGAATATGATTCTAAATAACGAATTTTAGATTGATTGTTGATACTATTTTCTATTAATTCCTTTGCACTTCTATGTCGAGTGTATGACTCAACATCAATTTTATTTATACGAGCTCGTCGTATGTATCGAGTTACACTATTGTAGTACACTATTGTAATAGATTAATTTTATTGTATTACGTAATGATTAATTTCTTTTTATAATTATAAGACATTGTGTATGTAATATTATAACAATAGATATTTATTGATATGCATTATATTTTCGAAAAAAATTTAGAATATAAACAGTTAAATAATTTGTGAGGATAAGAAAGAATAGAAGATTTTATAATACTATGAACTGTAATATATGTATTTCTTACCGCAGCGGCACTTTCCAAAGACGCCACAAATATTCCACCAAGAATCATATGAAAAGCCTTAGTACCCCTTTGTAATAGAAATAACATCATTTTCTGTATATGTAACGGAGCTATGTACCACTGAACGTTGTATCTACCAAATAATAACAAATTGATAAAGATAAAAATAATTGTAAAAAGATGAAATATATTTGGTATAATAATAATGATTATAATAGGCATATTTGTTCCATGAGTCGTATTAGTTACTGCTGTGATATATTCAATAATTATTATTACAAGAATCAAAACAAGTGCTCTTATATAACAATATAATAAAAATATCTCTCTTACACTGTAGCAAATACGTATTCATTATGATCCGTAATTTCTTGCGCAGTCCAGTTGGATACGAATAAGTATACGTAAAGGATGATTATAATTAAAAGAGGTAGTATAAGTTGCTCAATATTATCACGATACGACGCAGCCTAAAAATTACGATGTTTGTTACACATTTACTATCAACTTCTTCGAATAATATTGTTCTGTATTGTTCATTTTATTCTGTTTATGTATATTTGCATAATGAAATATGTTATAGATTAGTGTTATGTTACGTAATGATTAATTTTTTTTATAATTATAAGACATTGTGTATGTAGTATCACAACAAATACGTATATTGTAGTCATGACTTATGAGAAAAGATATTGGATACAATTATTTTCATAATGCTTTTAATTTATATATTCTACAATAAAAAGGTATTTGCTTTGTTTTTCCTTGACTCTTCGATAAAAATCTAATATTACATAATCATGATTAAATATTAAGAAATTTACCTGAAAAAGATTAAGACTAAGACAAGTTACGCCAATTGCTATTAAGAAGAAAAATGATCCTTCAAAATTTGATATTAAAAAATCGGTGAACCTTCAAGTATGAGAAAGTACGTGTTATTATATATATTAAATATTTCTTATTAGATGTACATATATTAACATATACTCTTATCAAGTACACATATACTAACTCCATAGCTCTGCGATGAATATTCACGGCATAAATTATTTCTTTATAAATTTTGCTCTCATTCTTTAGGTCATCTTTTTGTAAAATATTGATTGCCTGTTCGATACGGTAACTGTAAATAATTTCCATATAATTACTTCATCTAAATTCGTTTTAGATGATGAACAAAATATCGTTTATTATTGTATCTAATATTTTATTTATTTACCTCGCGATACTAAACATTCCGCAGGTATGTTGAAGATATGCAAGAAGCGTCGTTCCTGTCGCTATCATTGCGATAGATCCTATGTAATTAGCTGCTAATGCGTGCAGCATGATAAAGTAGAAATATTTTTCTTGATCAATAAAGTATTCTGTCACAATGTATACTGAAGGATTTAGTCGAGAACTATTATTAAGCAGAATAAAGTGTTGAATATACGGCCAAATTTGTAGAAAAGTTAAAGTACATTCACCACACATGCCAAACACTGAAAGAAATTTTATAAAGTTATTTATATATATAAATCAAACTTTATTAGCTTTTAATTAAAAAATTTTTTTTCTATTGAGAAAAGATAGAATCTTGTTTCGATTTAAAAAAATATACTATTTGTGATTACATTTTATCTAATTTTGAAACATATAAAAGACTTAACTACCATTGTCTTACGTATTATTGCAGTTGTATAACATTTTGCTTTGCTTCCATATTTTTCTATAATAGCGATTTCATTTTCATCTTTTAATTCGTTACATACATCTTGAAGTTGTTCCAGCAAACTCCTTACCTGTCGTATCAATGATATTATATTTCTCTTTAAAATTTGAAAATGATTATATAATCAAATGTTTTCTTCATTAATTTTTCGCTATTCTTCATCGATTAGGACCAAATTACCTGTTACTTTCTGTGTTTAGAGATTGTTTTTATATTATAATTAAAAAGTATAAAAGATCAAGCCATGAAGAACTGAAAGAAAATAAAAAACACTCACGTTAACTTGATCCTAACTGATAAGAATACGAAAAAGAATATAAAAATTGGACAATTTCATATTTAAAAATTCCATTTATCTGATATTTGATTGATAACGTTCTTACGGTATCGGCGTTAATCCAAAATGAATTATATTTGATCGCGAAGCACACAAAAAAAAATGAAGTGGAAAAAACTTTAAGAATATGTTCTGAAGTACATTTTGACGTTAATAATGTTGTAAACTGCAAGAAATATTTTATTAAATTAGTTGCATAAGCAAGTAATAGCAGATTATTTAATTAGTAAATTGCTCGCTCTTTGCTCCTGTATTATGCACTGTACTATATGGAGTCAGATAGTAAAAAGTGCAAGTAATTAATATTTCTATATAATTGTATACGATAGTTTTATTTCAAATATTATATAATATAATTATATTAAAAATCTGACAGATATAAAATAACGTTTTGTTTTACATAAGTCATGATATTCAATAATGTATCATTTTTACTTTAATAATAAAATTAAAATCTTAACATACTTGAAATATAATAAAAGTCGTCAGAGTACCAAAAAATAAAATTAACTGAAATTGAATAATGAGCGATCGTTGATAAGGCCACAAACCAACGACAAGCAACAGAATTCGATTGAGACTAAAATGTCGAGTTTCGAGACAGATCATTTCTTCGTGAGCACCAAGATGCGTTTAACAGAAAAGTAGCGATAGACATGCATTTATCCCCTCTTTTCTATTCAATGAGTGTGACTTTTCTCCTAATTTTTTTAGTAAATTTCCTTTTTCTATCCTAATGTAAATTATGAAGTACAACTATAAAATTAGACCATCATAATTTAAGAAATTTTCTTGGGAGAACGTTCATAAATAAATTATAGGAATACTGGAATAAATGATTGATTTCACACTAAAAGCAATTTAACGGATGTTCTTTTCTCATAGAGAAATATTCATACGAAAACTTCTTTTGTGCAAAATTCGCGCAGCCGCAATCGCTACTTTTCATTACTTTTCCATCTATTTCAATTTAGTATGTACACTCGTATGACATGTTTGTCTAAGCAACGCTAAACATTGACATATTATATTCAAGTTAGTAAATTACGCAATGTTAATATTTAAATCAAACTTTAATGTTTTTTTTTTTCTTAAAATCTTCTAATTTTGCACTTGTGCTGTCAAAAGGATGTATTTAAATTTAATGCATTATAATAACACATTATAAATTTTTGAATATTTTTGAGATTTAATGTATCAACATGCATATTACAATAAGTAAAATAATAAGAACTATAGAAAATAATTTTGAACAATTTTATTTATTAGGGTAACTCTGGTATATACGCCGCACCTATTAAAAACTTAATTTATTAAGTATTTACTATGTTCGTTTAGTAAATGAACTATATCAGTAAAAACTTTGTCTACTACTATGAAACAAAGAAATTCGAAATATTTATTTTTCATATTAAAAAATAAACTTTTTGAAACTCTTGCATTTTGCCATATATCCGGATGGGGATGTCGTATATCGGGATGAGATATATGGATAATTATAGAGGGAAGAGGGATATGTACGGTTCAAAAATTTACAAATAATGCATATAAATAAGATGTATAATGACATAATAATTTATAAAATGTGTGTTTCTAAAGTTTTATTAAGAAATAAGAATGGTAAATATGTATATGAAGTAATAAATAATAATTATAATCTTCCTACATATATTACAAGTGTTATGACATAAGGTACATATTTCATATAATGCATTTATTGCATTTAGTGAACTGAATTCAATCTGCGCATTTTGTAAGTTTTGGGCTTAAATCCCGTTCGCTAAAAGTGCCGTATGTTTCTAACAGATGGGATATACAAGACAACAAACTAAACATTGTATTTTGCTACAACATGCTTTACTATTCCACTACATAAATAAAATAACCACTAAGTCTTTTTTACACGCCCTACATTAATCATTTTATATAGATTATAATTTATGATGGCGTTATTTTTTACAGTGACAAATCGATTTCAATTCATAAATAAATTTATTAATATTAACAGTAAGAAGCTGAAATCATAACACAATACTAATGTAACATAAAGGCATGTAATAGAGTAGTTGTGGAAAAATTACGCTCTTCTATTTTTTCTGCGACATAAATCCCAGCGCGGCGTATTTGCCAGAGTTATTAGCCTATCTGTATTTTTTCCATTAATTTGATAATATCAAAGTTCTATTCATTTAATATCCATATAATACATTGCAACATTATTATTAAAATTCTGTACATATTTATAATCTAAAGATTATACAAGGTTATAGATGGCACGTTATTGATTTGTATAATAAATTAATGTGAAGTAAGAGAATGACGCGCTGACAAGCTGCAATGAAAAATATTTTCTTCAAATGTTTGAAAAATATTATTGAATAAATTTTCATTTAATTTTTACCGTGGCGAAGCCTTCTAAGGAACCAATAAATAATCCACCAATCATTATCTTCAAAGTTTTAGTGCCTCTTTGCAATAGGAACAATATTAGCTTTTGCACATGTAAGGGAACTACATACCAGTAGCCATTGTATCTATGAAATGATTAAATATAATCAATAATATTATTTGATAATATTATATGATAATGTTATGATGATAAAATAATAATGCATAGATATTTTTAATTATCTCGTAAATATATATGTATATAACGTATAGTTATTTTATGAAATATTTCAGCTTTTGCTACAAATTTTGTATTATATTTTGTATCTATTAACTCTAACTTGTATTGCAAAAATTTTAACTTTCATGTATCACATAAGAATATTTCTTACACTGTAACGAATATCCTATTGTTATGATCTATAATTTGTTGCGCAATATTGGTGGAAAGGAATGTGTATATATAATGAATATTCAATATTATGAAGCACTGTATCACTTTTTCGCCAATATATCCAGATGATATTTCTCGAAAAATCTGGAAAATGCGAGTTATTTATTTAAAAGTATACTTAAAAAAAATAAAAGTTCGAACTTACTCGATAAAGATTAAGGCTCGCAAAAACTGTTCCATTCAATACCATAATAAAAAATGTCGTATTAAATGATGATACAGTAATTTGGACAATCCTTCAAGGAAAAAATATTAGTAGTTGTATAATATATACAATATATGTAGACATATAGAAATATATTCAAAGATAAATTCCTTGATCATTTCCGAATAGGTTTCAATTTGATACTGATATTAGATTTTATTATTTGTTGTTAATTATCTCTTTTGTGATGTTAAATATTAATGTTCAAATTATAATTAGATATAATTATAAATTTTTAAACTAAAGTTAAACTAAAGTTTTTGAAGAAACATTTACATATAAAATTGAGTATAATTTATTTGAAATTAATTTACAGATTTGATAATACTTTACTTCAAAGCTTTGCGATGTATGTCTATGGCATAAATTATGCCCTTGCAAATCAAATGTGCATTTTTTATGTCACTCATTCGTCTAATACTAATTGTCATGGCTTGCTCCATACGATAGCTGTAATAAATAACTTATATATTAGGTGTTGGAATTAATTCGTAGCGTTTTACAAGTGATGGGAAGTACTTTCATTAATGTATTTTTTAATGCTCATGTGAAATAAATAACATTCTTTCATTAAAAACGCTACGAATTAATTCCAACACCTAATATATGTATATATATACATATATATACACATACATATATATATAAGGGTGTCTCAAAAATAGGATAGGAATCGCGTAGAATGGGCCAAGGGAACAAAAAAGTCTTATATCATTTTGACATTAAACATATTCGCTGAAATTATCGAATTAAGAAAGGAACATGCAGTCCGTCTAAGCCAACATGCAGTGAACATATAATTAATATGTATAATAATTTTGAAATAAATCCAATATATTTTCATATTGCTTGAATGCGACAAATATTTTATTATTTACAATATAAAAATCTTCCTATTATGGAAAATTTGAAAAATTCCTAATAAAATGAGTTAATTTTTATATGTAATATAGCTTATAACGTGATAAATAAAAGATGTTATAAACTTGAAACTCAATATTAGATAGTTTTTGAGCTATGATGTGTCAAAGATGCTCTGTAAGTATAAATTTTGTACATTCGTGTATCTTAACCCAAAAATTATCCATTTTCTAACTTTATTTATATTTTATCCACCACATTATAAGCTTCATCATGAAAATTAACTGATTTCATCAGGACTTAATTTATCATATAATTGCAGGATTCTTTTGATAATCATTATTACATTAATTTTTTTACCTTGCAATTTTTAACATTCCACAGACATGTTGCATATACGTTAATAGCATTGCTCCCGTCGCTAACATTGCAAGTGATCCTATAAAGAATGCTACATCTGCATGCAGTATAATTAAATAAAAATATGTTTCTTCATCGATAAAATATTCTGTGACGATTTTTAACGATGGCTGCAACTGAGATTCATTTCCAGAGAACATAGTATCGATTATATGTGGCAAAAATGAAGAAAAGATGAACAAAATATTGGTGAAGATAAAGAGCACTAAAAACGAATTGAAAACAATCGTAAAAAATTATTAATTAATATTTTTAAATGCTATTATATATTTTAAATTTATTTTATTTTAATCTCTCTCAATATATTTATGTTTACGATATCACCTGATGTATAATTATATATGGGTATTTCAAGTTTTGTGCGTATAAACGCACTTCTTAGAGTATACTAAATATAGATAAAAGATAGTAAAGAGAAAGGTATTTTAATTATGAGAATATTATTTTGATCGATGTGACATTTTCTATAAAAGTGTTATTCATTTACGTTCTTTATATACAATATATGAGCTTAAGGATGATTAGACATGAGGAGATTGCATAGATTTCAGATGATAACAAAGTAATGTGTACATGTGATATGATTTAATGTAATATCACCATACGTACGTATAATTGATTAGTTAATTACTTTAAAAAATCAGTTCTTATTATTTATAATTACGAAATTCGAAACACAATACTGTGTACAACCGCAAATATAATAGATTATTCAATAAAAATGTTATTTAAATTTTTAAATGAAACCTGCATATTTCCTGAGTAGTGAAAACTAAGAGATCTTCTTACGCGTAAGTATTTCAGTGTAACGTTTTGCGATGTTCCAATACTTTTCTATAATGGCAATTTCATTTTCGTCTCTTAATTCATCGTAGGTATCTTGAAGAAGTTCTAATAAGTGTTTTACCTGTCAATAATTTTCTATGCTACTTGTTATGTGGAAGTTGATATAGATGAATGTAGTATATTCTCTAAATATCTTGGAATAAAATCTCAAAGAGAATTAAATTACTGCCACTAAGAGAAAAAGAGAGAAAAATTTGCACTCTAAGAGTGGCAGATTTTCAATTTTTTTTTAGTAAAATTTATTCTAAAGGAAAGAAATCTTATTCCATAAAAAGGTGAAAATCAGCCACTCTCATTCAAAAAAAGTGCAAATTTTTCATTCTTTCTTAATAGTGGCAATATTTTAACTATTTTAGAGTGAGATTTTATTTCAAGAAATTTAAAGAGTTTAACATGCATTTATTTAAATAAGAAATATTTCTTATCGCTTACAACATCCATGTTAAAGTTGAATGAGAGATATGGTATCAAGAAGAGATTAAAAAAGAATGTGACAGATAGAATTTCAATGGTTAATTGCAAATCATATTTTGAGGTCACAAATGTTGTAAACTATGGAAAATGATTTTGTTGCATTATTTGTACAAAAAAATTAATGTTTTGTCAGTAAATAGAAAGATTTTAATTATTAATTATTTTTCTTACGTACAATAATATATTGAACATAAAATACAAAATCTAACTATACGTACGAATAATTATGACGTATAATTATACGTCATAACAAAAAATTATATAACAAAAATATATTACTTTATATTGTATAATTATAAATAAATTTAAATATGCCAGATTGCTATTAATAACAATGTGACAACTTATTAATTATTAATGAAATATTATTATTAATAAATAAGAACGTTTCTTATAAAAGATCTACTAAATATGCATTCATTTACCTGAAATACAATAAAACTTCCCAGAATTCCGTAATGCAAAGTCAATTGTAGTCGAATGAGTTTGGATTGTTCATAAGGCCACAAACCAATAGCGAGCATGAGAATTCGATTGAGACTAAAGTATCGATCCTTCGTGCAAGTCATCCCTTCGAGGGTAGGAACACATATGACTGCGAAAAAGTCAGGAACATTCCGTCCATCCCCTCTTTCGACCGATTGATTGAATGTTCCTTCTTTTAGTAAATTTTACTATTAAACTTAACATTACTTTTACATTAAACGTAAAAGAACATTCAAACACTTGTAATTTTGCAATATTTTTCTTAAAGAAGTCTACGATTAAGCGATCGATGCGATACATAAGGAAAAATTCAGGTGTCTTTTTCTCACAAAAATGCAGAAAAAAGGATATTCGTGAAAAAATATCCACATAAATGCCACGCTGGCGCATTCTGTTGTTTTTATTGCCGTAGCTTACTTACATACATGTATATAAATAAACATATATATATATATAAATCAAACATATATATATAAATATATATATATATATATATATATGTTTGATTTTTGAAAGAAATAGCCATCAATTTTAAATATATTGACATATTTTCTATTAAGTTCATATGGCTGTAAATCATCAGCAGATATGTCACAATAGAAATGATTTTACTTTCGTAAATCTTCATATATATCATTTATTGTCTG